TTTTTGTAAGTACAATTTCTGATGAAATGTTATAAAATCTAAAAAATACTTTTTAAAAATTATGGGATGAAAATTTCAGAATATTTCAGAATTCACTTACATGAAAAATTCTGAGAGAAGATGTCAATTTTCCGAATATTTCCAAATATTTTTGAAAAATGTTCCAATTTGTAAAAATAAAAATTATGAGAAAAATTTTCATGAGGATAATTTATATTAAGAAAGTGTATAGTATATAATTATTATATGTAACAAATTGATTTTTATTTAACAAAGATATGAAATTGTTTAAATTTTATTACAAATTTAATATAATTATATTGGTTAAATTTCTAGGAAAATAAATATTTAGGAAATAATGTACTTAAGTATATATAATTTATATTAATAAAATATATGATGTATGAATATTATACAATATATAATAAATATTGTTTTCAATTAATAAAAGATGATGAAATTATTAAGGAATTAAATGATGGCTGTAGAGTAACAATCAAATTGTGTATATGTGTATTAGATGGTGTTACTGGAGTATTCGACATCGATCAACTTGTTGAGTTATTAGAAAGAGATAAGGCCAAGAATATCTTTGTCGCTTCCGTTCCCAAGGAGTATGCTTACGTGGATTACATCGTTGTTGTGACTGGAAATTCACAAAAGCACATAAATGCTTTGGCCACTTTTATACGCAAGGTTTACAAACTGAAAAGATATCAAAATGAGTTGATACCTAAAATCGAGGGGGAGAAATCAAAGGATTGGATGGCCTTGGATTTAGGTAATATATTCTTTGAATTAGAAAATTATATTTTATGTTTTAATAGGTTACAATTCTTATGTAATGGTTGCCAAAAGCTAGTCAATGAATAATAAAATTATATATATTATATAATTATACACAAGTATATAATTATATAGTATTTGTATAAATTTACACAAATATCTTTAATCATTTTTCAACATTTGTTTTAGAAATGTAAAAATAAGATAATCTAGAATTAGAATAAAAAATGTAAAAAATCATTATATTATATATTTACACAATATATAATATAATTATTTTTATCTTGTTTCTAGATTCTCATCAAAATGTTGAAAAATATTTAAAGACAGTCTATCATTCTATATGATCACTATATGTTAAATATTATAAACTCTCCACAAGCTTACTATTTATTATAAATTGAAGTACATAAATAACATTAATAACTATAAAATAATTTCGTATTTATTAGAGTTTTTTTCGTATGTATTAGATTCGTATTTATTAGAATTTATAAAATTGTGCGTTATTTGTATTGCAGGAAATATCGCTCTGCATATTTTATCTGGTTCTGCTAGAGAACATTTCGACTTGGAGACTTTATGGACTGTCGGTTCGCAATATGATGATAAAACTAATACATCTAGAGAATCGAGCATTATGGATCAGTATAATGTCTTCTTAGCTGATCTCCAACCAGCCGATAATGTTCAATGATTTGCATTGCGTATACTTTAATGTAAAAATTCTAAACTAGTCTAATAAAAAAATGATACAATTAATAATGAAGATATTGTTATGTATTTCACTAGTATGCTCACTCTCAATAGCATTTACATCATAATATTGTTAAGTTTTACGTATAGCATCAAGATTATCGCAAAAAAAAAGCATAATTTTCCTTTCATAATTGTATATAGTAATGTGGAACAAAAAATATGAAAAATTTCCTAAAAAGTTAAAAACTATTCAAAAATTCTGTAAAATATTATCTTTACAGAAATTTATAGAATTTTTACTGAAATTTACATAAAAATTCAGAAAAATTATATTGAAAATTCTGAGAAAAATGTTTATCAGAGTGATAGTATAAAAATATTTTTCTTTGAATTTTTAATGTAATTTTTCAAATTTTTTATTTTTTTCAGATTTCTTATACAAGAATTCTTTATATATATATATATATATATATATATA